AAGCTCTAAATACCCGGCACTAGTTTTAAGACTTAAAATGCACCTTATGTCATTTTCAATTAAAATGAACTCCAAATCAATATCATAATACAGAAAATTGTGGAAATAACAAAAAACGAATGACATACTTGACATTTATAATCAAAATGGTCTTAATGTATTGGAAGGATTTTATTTTTTTTTAGAAGTGTTCGGAAGATATTTTATCTAAGTACGATGTATTTATTTAATATTACCTAAGCATAAGATATCATGACGTAAAAATTTATCTTTTTCTTTTAAATATAATTTAGAGTTTATACGTAACGCCACATATAAATACGGCATAACATGATCCGAGCATAGTGAACTAGCATATTAGTAGAAAATGATATGAAACTTAACAGTAAGTTGCATTAGATGTAGAATAGATGAATAGAATATGAAACTTAGCAGGTAGCACAGTTGCTTTTGACATTAAAATTTTAATCAAGTTTCTTAATTTCTATTATTTCATTGTAATATAGTTTGTTTTCATTTCAGTACTATCTCTAGCATACATATGTATATTTTTTTAGATTTTTCCATTGGATTTTCCACAATTAATTGGCTTTATATCATTATATGTTTTGGACAATAGCTACGATAGATACCATAAACATGTTTTAATATATTTAAACATGTGTTACTTGTTAATTTTGTTAGAAATATAATGTTTTTTTTATCATGTGCAGTGTAATAAAATATTGTTGCAATCATACGGACCGATTTATCTTTTCAACATAAAAGTTAGGTAAGTACCATCTCTCCGTTTAAAAAAAAAAAAAAAAAGCATATATAATCTCATCTGTCCCATTTTTTTAAAAAGAATTTGATTCAACATCCAAAATTTCGTGTATGGTAGTTGGTACATTAAAAAAAAAAAGGAAAAAGAAAAAAAGACAATAACTTTACTGGTTGATTATAGCTAAAGAAATCCTATGCTGTAATCATTTGAAAGAAGCTTATCCGCATGAATTTATTATGGAAAGGTTGTTGGTAGATTAGGCTGTAATGTATCACTCTACTTTTCCCACCAACCCTTTCGCTTATCTTAACGAGATATCGAGAAATCTTGGAAAAAGACAATCTACAGTAGCAAAGTCAAGTTGTCATTGCGTGAAGCTTGTTATTTTATTCTATCAGTAAAAATTATATTTTTATCGTCATATTAATTGTTAACGGTTAAATATTTAGTAAAAATAGTTTTACGTGACACAATATAAATTTTTATATGGATATGCACAAATTAATCTTAAAACTAATCAAATGGTTAAAATTTATTATTTTTATTAGTAGAGTAAAATAGCCTACTCTAATGTAAAGATTCCCTTAATGCATTAAACAAGGTATAAAGCGGCAGATTTTTTTTAAAGCTAAAACATTTCGGGAATTTTTTATGGTGGAACTTCAATAAGTGTTCTATTATTGGATTATTTTTTCAACAGATAGATCTACAATAAGAGCAGTTTTTATACCGCGTGTTGTAAATTTTAATACGAATCTGTACAGATTTTACTGTTAAAAACGTAATCCAACGGTTAAAAAAGTAATGCTCCATCGGTGGAACACTTATTGGGGTTCCATCGTAATCCCTAATTTTCGGTGTCATAAAATGTCGTTGCTATTTTTTTTTAGAGATTCTCTGATACGCCTAGTGTACTAGTATGCTAAATTTTTTTAACCGTTAGATTTGCATACTTTTTATTTTTTACTTAATTTATGCATATTCGATAAGTAAAAAATTTAACTTATCAGTATGTTAGCATACCGGATAATTTTTTTTTTTTGTTATAATGTTTCATGAAATTGTTGAGATCTATAATTTATGGTAGAATAAAGTCATACATTAACGTGCATCTATATCATGCCTTTCGACGAATATCATGAAACAGAGTTTAATAATCCCTTTTTTGTTCTTTTGATAACCGCAAATATCATGTCACAGATTTGTCAAAGTGACAGCAGCAGTATTATTCCGACTCATGGTTATGACTCAAAAAATAACAATAATGTAATAAAGTGAAGGATATCCAAAATGAATAATCCAAATGATTGTTTTATCTCTCTTTTGATGACTTTTCGATTCTAAATTGCGTAGCACGTGACTGACCCGCGATTCAATATTAGACACGTCTTGTTAATTGTTGTTGGGCAGAGGTTGATAATATTTTTCTTGAACTTTTCTTCTTGCAGTTTTTGTATTTATTTTTTTTCCCTTTTTTGTTTGAAAGCATATTCCAACAATCATCGTTCGATAGTTTTTTGGTTAATTAAAAAACATCAATATTTATCTGTTAAATCATTTTCCACGTGCCTGCAACCACCACTGTCATTTCTTTTCTTCTTCAGCGAAAAAGGAGAAAAAAAAAAACACTCACCAGAGTCATCGCTGTCTTCTAAGCAACTGTATTCAAAAATTCCTTTACGTGGCAGCAAATTAGCTCATAAATCTTGTGTAAAGTACAATCTTTACTTTTTCTAAAAAATAAAAATCTTTAATTTTTCTCCATTAAAAAGCGATCTTTATTTTCCAAGAAAAAAATCATTGGACCAAAAAAAAATATGTTTTTTCTTCAATAAAAAACACATGGAAATAAAAATTATTGAATTAATTTCAAAAATTATCCATGAGTTATGATCTTTTTAACACTTTATGTTTTAAATTTTAAAAGGTAACATCTGTCCATCTTAAACTTTATTCCGTTAACAAATTTTTCTCTTATGTTACAATGAGTGACAGAATTCGTCACGTGTTAGGCACGTGACCCATATGAGGAGGGTATTATCATACATTAACATGCAACAACCTTTCAAGCATTAAAGAAAAAAAACCTAGTAACTTAACACGACCTATTTAATGGGTTGCAGCGTAATCTCTGACGTTAAATTAGAACCTGATGGAAGGAGAGGAGTAATCCTAGGAGGTGGAGGTGCATTCTTAGAAGGTATTAATGCTGATAGAGGAGGTGATTCTTTAGGAAAAATAGATGTTGGTGAAGGTGGAGGAGAACTTGTGGGCGGAACAGATTTTGGTGGTGGGGGTGAACTTTCGTGGCGAAGATGTCGGGGGCGATGGTGAACTCTCAGGTGCCGTTGGTGATGGTGGTAGAGGTGAATTTTCGGGTGGTTTTGGTGATGATGGAGGTGGGGAATTCACAGGTGGGTTGGATGACGGTGGTGGAGGTGAACTCACTGGCGGAGTTGAACTAGGTGGTGGTGGTGAACTCACTGGTGGAGTATAACTAGGTGGTGGTGGTGGTGGTGATGGTGGAGGTGAAGTTTTTGTGTAGAGTTATGATTGTACGAAGATGAGAAACAAAATGAGGAAAAAAAGAAGAAGAATGAGGAACGAATATGGTGAATTTTTTCAATAAAATAGAGAATTATCTGATTAGGAGAGTATAAGCGTAATTACACTTTCAATTCTCACTAAATAAGTGGCACGTGACAATTTCGTCACTCATTGTAACAGATGAGCAAAATTTATTAATGGAATAAAGTTCAGGAGAACATATATTACATTTTAAAGTTCAGAAGATAAAATGTTAAAAGAGTCATAATTTATGAGAAATTTTTAAAATTAATCCAAAATTGTTCTATCCAAAACCACATGGAAATATTTCAAAAAAAAAAAAAAAAAAACACATGGAAATAGTAGCTATCATCCTCGGAAGCTTATCATCCCGCTTCACTCGTTTCCCGTACGAGCACGACTCAAGAACCTTTTCTTCAATTTTTACCCACTAACATACGTGGCTAATTTTCATTAGCAACTAGCAAGTTTATTGTTATTAATAAGTGGCGATGATAGTAATTTCTTATAGTAAATTTGCAGCTTAAACTAAAAAAAAAAAAAAAAAATCGTAGATTGTCATTGTTTTGATATTCGTACACATTTACATAATTTAAAATCTAAATTTGTGTTATTTAAGTTTATTTTTTAATTAATTAATAAAATGTGTTTTATCTTGTTTTTTTTTTTTCTAATCAAAATGTGTTTTATCTTTTTACTTGAGTGACATGATTGTTAATTAGTATTATTATGAGTGGTATTTTTATATTTTTCCACTAAAAACTAAAAATACATAGATAATATTTTTCCCTGTTATTAAGTGTCAATATTATACCATAAATGTTTCTTTTTTACATTAAGGCTCATTATACTATAAATGTTTTTTTTTTCCCATATTAAGGGTCATTTTACTATAAAGGTCTCTATTGGCGGTCCAAATTTTACTGTTAAATTTAATCAAAGTCACTTCATAATAATAAAAAAATTATACAAAACAAACAATTTCTAATAAGTAATACAAATTTAACGCTTAAAATAAAATATACTAGTAGTTTATTATTTTAAATCATACCAAGAAATCTCTTAACACTAAATACATATATTAAAAGGGAGTTTTTCTTAGGCTCTGAAAAAGTGAATTATCAAAAAGTTTTTATTTTCAATCGTCAGAATAATATAAAAGTTTTTCATTCTTCATATTATTATAATCTGATTTAATTTTAACTAGACTTAATATTAATAACTGGTCCTATCGATAGAGAGAATCTATAATAAAAATTTTCATTTTCTTTATGTGTTAGAAAAAATTATTAAATTTACTCTTAAAAGTATATAAATTTTAACTTTTATCACTTACTATTAATTAATACATCTTTATTTAATAAATTTATTTGATTAAAATGATTTTAATTAAAAATAAAAAGTAAAAAATTAGACTTACAAAAATATTTGTCTCCTTTCTCGTGTATTAAAATTATAAAATAAATGATTGTCAAATTAGCTCTAGCTGTGAAATTTGACTGCGCCCGCCACCAAAAAGGACGGCCTAATTTACCAAAAAACCCGAAGGAAATTTAGAATGCCGAAAATGTCCTTCCCAACTACCCCCACGTCTCCACCAGAAACACCAGCCTTCCTACCCTCTGTCGTGTGACCTTGTCGAGTAGGCCTCTCTCTCTCTCTCTCTCACTGTTGATTTGTTTTTTGGCCCTTATAAAACCCTCCCCATTTGCTCTCTCTGTCTCTTCAGGTACATTTATCTGAGATCCCTCTCTCTCTGTCTCTCTCGGTATCTCATTTCCGTACCTCAACAGATCCCCATAAGAAAACAGTCACAAAAACAAATACAATGGCGCTCTCCAGCACTAGCTGCGTCATTCCCACCACCAAATCCTTCATCCAACCCCAGCCCGCCTCTCACACTCACTTCCTACCTTCCTCCAAATCCCACCAACCCACCTTCCCCAACAAGAAAACGACATCGTTTTCCCCAATCGTCGCCGTTCACGCCGCCGAGCCCGCCAAGAACCCCGTCGTCTCCGACAACAAGTCCCCGCCCGCAACGTCGTCGTCTTCTTCGAAATCAGCGTCGAAGGTCAACAGCAGCAATAATGCGGTCCTCGGGAAATGGAGCCTCGAGAGCTGGAAATCCAAGAAGGCGCTCCAGCTGCCCGAGTACCCGGATGCGGCGGAGCTCGAGTCGGTGCTCCGGACCATCGAGTCTTTCCCTCCGATCGTCTTCGCCGGTGAAGCCAGGAGCTTGGAGGAGCGCCTTGCCGAGGCCGCCATGGGAAACGCCTTCCTCCTCCAGGGCGGCGACTGCGCCGAGAGCTTCAAGGAGTTCAATGCCAACAACATCCGTGACACCTTCCGGATCCTCCTCCAGATGGGCGCCGTTCTCATGTTCGGAGGTCAACTGCCCGTTATCAAGGTCAGGAATTTCGAAATTCTCTTCAATTTCACATTACCTGGTTTATTGAGATCGAATGAATTGAATTTTGAGGATTGGATTTCCGTTTTAGGTTGGGAGAATGGCGGGTCAATTTGCGAAGCCGAGATCGGACTCGTTCGAGGAGAAGAACGGAGTGAAGCTACCGAGTTACAGAGGGGACAACGTCAACGGAGATGCGTTCGACGCTAAATCGAGGATTCCAGACCCTCAGAGGATGATCAGGGCTTACTGTCAATCGGCGGCGACTCTCAACCTTCTTAGGGCCTTCGCCACCGGTGGCTACGCCGCTATGCAGAGGGTCACTCAGTGGAATCTCGACTTCACCGAACACAGCGAGCAAGGAGACAGGTAACGGGTTCTTTTAGATTTGATTGGTGATAATCCAAACTGAAGGACTTTTTTAAGACGAATTAATCTTGGTATTAGATGGTGGAATTTTATGCCATAAATATCTTATATCGTTTTCACTGGCCTGTTTTTCGTTGCGTATTGCCTAGTTTGAACTCTGAAGCTTTTGAAAAGTAACTATTTTAACGTCTATATGTAATTTGCTGGGCAGTGATTTTTATTTTTATTTTTTTGGGATGACATAATACTAGGTTGTTATCTATTATTCTTCGAGAATATGTATGCTGACGAATTCTTTGTTTCCTCATGTTGTGGTTTGTCAGTTTTGGGTCTGATAGAAAGTAGCGTCTCATGAATCACTTTATACTACCTTTTGGCTTTCTGCTTAAATGAATATCGACTTTACTACATCGGCCAATTTATTTACTTTAAGTAATGGTTGGTGGTGCTCTATCACGGGCAAATAAGTCCCGAAACATAAAAGTATGTTTGGCTCTTGAAATAATTGTAACGTGTTTTATCCAGGTACCGTGAACTAGCTAACCGAGTTGATGAGGCCCTGGGTTTCATGGCTGCAGCGGGGCTCACGGTTGACCACCCGATCATGACAACGACTGAGTTTTGGACATCCCATGAATGCTTGCTCTTGCCGTATGAGCAGTCGCTCACTAGGTTGGATTCAACTTCTGGCCTTTACTATGATTGCTCTGCCCATATGCTTTGGGCTGGTGAACGGACGAGGCAACTTGATGGAGCCCATGTTGAGTTTCTGAGAGGAGTTGCTAATCCCCTTGGAATTAAGGTATTGAAATGTTGTCTACTGTATTATTTATAGCCAAATAGTCTTTAACATGTTTTGCACAAATAATTAATTCTTCTTATATTTTAGATTTAGATCCAAGGGTGTATAATATGAGTCATATGTATTAGACTCTGTAGCTAGCAATATCCGAGTTGAGAATTCATATCGGATCTTTATCAATACAGTTTGATTGTAGTGGAGAAGACTAACGCGGGAGGAATCTTTGTGATGCAGGTGAGCGATAAGATGGATCCAAATGAGCTAGTTAAGCTCATAGAGATTTTGAACCCTCAGAACAAAGCAGGGAGAATAACAGTGATTGTAAGAATGGGAGCTGAGAACATGAGAGTGAAGCTTCCCCATCTTATTAGGGCAGTCCGCAGATCAGGCCAAATTGTCACATGGGTCAGTGATCCTATGCATGGGAACACCATAAAAGCTCCCTGTGGTCTCAAAACGCGGCCCTTCGATGCCATCAGGGTATAGTACTTACTTTCCTTCATTTAATCATTACTGCTAGTGTGGTTTTCGGGTCAAGTTTTATTAGGTGTCAAATCAGTTTCACTTTAAGTGATGTCTGGCTGCTTTTGATGACATAAATCACTAACCAAAGTAAGCGTTTGATTAGTGTATTCGAGCAATGATTTGAATTATAGTTTGTGATTCGCTATAATATTTTTACTTATAAAAAACACACGTAAATCAAGAATGATTCTGAATCTATGAACTAAACATTTACGTGCTTTCTCTTAAGTGAAGTAACATTATGCAGTAAACCACTTTTTGTTGCTGTCTCTAACAATCTTTTTCGGAGAAGTAAGATATAATTTAGTACTGTGGATGTCAATTCTCAATAAATGTAACAAAGTTGAGTAAATAATAAGGAACTTTTTTCGATACGTTAACATATCAATAGGTCAGGTTTTTTATTCATCAAATTTGTATAAAATCACATAAAAATTAAAAGGTATACAGATCTAACGGTTAGAAGAATCTGACCTACGGATACACCAGGCGTACCAAGAATCTCTCTAATAATAATGCTATCAAATTCAGCAACCCCTTGAATTAAAATAAGTGACACTTATAGTCGTGCATTTTCACGGTTTACACACTAGCGCCTTCGTGATAGTTTTGGTAGTACCCCCACTAGAAAAAAGAAAAAAACGAGGAAAAAGAATTGAGTATAATTTCCAGCTAACCTGCAGTGCCTATTATTGATAACTAAAACTAGTATCATAATCTTGCACTATTATCTATGTTGTGCAGGCGGAGGTGAGAGCATTCTTTGATGTGCATGAGCAAGAAGGAAGCCACCCTGGAGGAGTTCACCTGGAAATGACTGGCCAAAATGTGACCGAGTGCATTGGAGGATCACGCACTGTGACGTTTGATGACTTGAGTTCACGCTACCACACCCACTGCGACCCGAGGCTCAACGCCTCTCAATCTCTTGAGCTCGCTTTCATCATCGCGGAGCGCCTTAGGAAAAGAAGAATCAAGTCACAGCAATCTACTACTGCTTCTTTGGGGCTGTAAAATGGCTTTCCAAGGCTTTTCTCCAATTCTTTTTCACCCTTTTTGCTCCCATCAACTTATTAGCTGCTGTCTTATGAACATATTACTGTTTACTGGATTCTAGTGTTAACTTATGCTGCGACTTGCGTGTTGTATGTGTACTGGATATGATGGTTTGAGACTTTCAAAAGGAAAGGAATAAAATGGAATTGCTATTATGGCGTTGAAGAATTAAAAAGTGATTTCTTTTCTGTGTTGGTATATGATTCATTTGAAAGAATTGATTTATCTAGCGGAAGATTACACATCATTGCGAACTAGAGGCCTCTTGAAATTAAACTGCAATTGCGGAAAATGTTGGATGTCCTGCAGAAAGATTACACATATTTTCTTCTTATTGCTTTTGTACAATTTATTTCATTTCCAAGCCCAAAAATCAAAAGTTGAAAAGTAAAAATTTCTTCGAACAATAAGGGTCCTGTTACCACGCAAGATTGGTCCGGTGAATGACTGAAATCCCCAACATAAATTTTCCTTTCCTAGAAAATATATATATATATATATATATATAATATAATTAGGCTAGGTCCTATAATATAACATGTAAAACTGGGATATGACATCAAATTTATTTTATCATCAGTTTTGTCTTTTCACCTCAAATCCGACGCCACAGTCTTTATCTAAAATAAAATGCTATGTTACACATTTCATTCTTGTATGTTACGCTATAAAACCCTATACTAAGGAGGATAAGAACCTTTGTTATAATAAGGTTTATTACCCTCAAATTCATTTAATATAAAAATTTATATGGGTCGACCTGAATTTTGACCCCAAAAATGATTAAAGTACCCTTAAAAATAACAAACAAAACTCTTAAAAACTTTCTAAAAGAAGAATATGAGAGAGAAGAGAATAAAACTATTTTTTTGAGACTTTTTATTTTTAAAGGTTTTTTTTTTAGTTTTTTCTTCCTTGTATTTAGGGGTACTTTGGTATTTTTAGTGTTGATTGGTAAAATGTATGAATTTATATATTAAATGAAATATGAAGGTATGAGATAAAAACTAAAGCTATACTTTATAAACTTAATGCAGGTCTTTAAAAAATAAATAACCCTATAATAATTTCCCTAATATCAAATCCACCAAAGTTTTTTTTGTTTTAAAAAATAAATCCTTTTTAATGCCGATTACTTTTTCTAAAATTATTTTTTTGGAAAGAAAAAAACAATAAAAACAAAAAGGAGCGAAGTCCGGCAAAGCGGTAGCGTGGACATTCCGCGAACACGGAGTAACCGCGTCGTGGAGGCGCCAACCGCGTGGCTTTAGCCTCGCATAAGCGTAAGCACGCAAACCAGGCCAAACGCTTAAAGCCCGCCCTCTCCCTAGTCGACTACTTCTCTCCGCAAATCAAATCCACGACCTCCATTTCTTAAAAACGAATCCTTCTACGACATTTCTATTCAATCACCGATCACTTCCGAGTTCCGATCTGCTAAAACTCTCGGAAATGGAGAACTCCGATTCCCCGTCGGTGGGACCCAGAGATCGCCGTCCCGACGCTCTCGGAGACCTCCGAGTACTTCCCGACGAAGTCATCTGCGCAATTCTGGAGTTTCTCACTCCTCGCGACGTCGCTCGCGTCGCTTGTGTCAGCAGGTTCTCTGCCCTATCCTACCCGCCACTTTTGCTTCTTCGGATTCGGTTTTCGAGTTTCGTCGAAATTCGGTCTGAAATTTCTCTTTTTTTTTTATGGAGAACGGATTGGAAAATCTTCGGTTGTTTTGTTGCCCTGGCAATACGGCATGATATAGCCATTGTTGAGAGTACTGCTGTGATGATAAGTTCTGTCATTGTATTTGATTTGCAGTGTAATGTACATTTTGTGCAATGAAGAACCTCTCTGGATGAGTCTGTGCCTTCACAGAGTAAACGGTCCTTTTCAGTACAAAGGCTCGTGGAAGAAAACAGGATTGCTTTTGTATGTCTCCTTAAATTTATGCTATAATTCTTCAATTCTTCTTCTTTTTTCTCTTTGTGAATGAACATTTATTTCTTCCTCTTTTCTTTTTTGGCGTGATTTGGGTGCAGAGAGCACACTAATGGAGAATCCGAAGAACTTTTGGGAAAACAATTGCGTTTTGATGGTAATCAATCTCTCGTTTATTGAACGATTAGTTTTCTTTCCTTCTAGTAAGATTAGTTTCGTTCTCTGGGATTTTTCTTCTACTGAAGTAAACAGAAAGCTATTAGTAGAGCTATTAGACAAATTATTCTTTTTTTTTTCTTTTCTTCCTATTTCCTGTAGGATTCAACTCGTGGTTCCTCTATAAAAGATTATACAGGTGCTATACCACACTAGACAGTTTCAATTTTGACAAGGGTAACGTGGAGAGAAATGAAAACCTTTCTTCAGAAGATTTCGACGGGAAGAAGCCGGTATGGTGATAACCATTTACTTTTTGAGTTTATGATAGGACTGAATTTAAATAGTGGAAATAATTTGAATTACTTGAAATTTTGTGTTTAAGGGAATTGTAAACATAATTTAACGTAATCTCAAGTTCCAAAGAACTGGAAACGTGATATTGATGTTTTCTTACTTTTCAATATGTTAAAAGAAAACATTCACATCGATAGATATTGAACTACGTAACAGGTTTTGCTTACTGGTCTAGCTGATGCTTGGCCTGCAAGGCATACATGGACAACGGACCAGTTATTGATGAACTATAGGGATACATCATTTAAGATTTCTCAGAGAAGTTCTCGTAAAATTTCAATGAAATTCAAAGACTATGTGTCATACATGAAACTTCAGCATGATGAGGATCCATTGTATATTTTCGATGACAAGGTATTTTGATGGTCATACGCTCTTACATAGTTCTCTCACTCACTCTTACATAGTTCTCTCACTCACTCTAAATGTTCAAACAACTTCCTTTTCTGGCAGTTTGGGGAAGTTGCACCAGGATTGTTGAAAGATTACAACGTGCCTTATCTATTTCGAGAAGACTATTTTGATGTCTTAGACAAAGATCAGCGACCTCCATTTAGATGGCTCATTATTGGACCAGAGAGGTCTGGTGCCTCGTGGCATGTTGATCCAGCTCTTACCAGTGCCTGGAATACCCTTTTATGCGGTCGGAAAAGGTACAGATCAAGCTTATCAACTTAAAAGCAGCCAGTAGAATCTATGTGTGTGTCGGTCCTATCCCATTCGGCATGATGTGTGTGTGTGTGTGTGTTATTTATTTATTTTTATTTTTATTTTTTTAAGCTTATGCCTTGTTTATAGCAAATTGTTAGTTTGATACTTTATGGCCAAGGCTCCTTCAAAGGCTAATTACTAAAATACCTCAGAGATCTTTCACAATCAGTTACTACAATTTTCTTGCTCATTTATTCTGTACAGATGGGCTTTGTATCCTCCTGGGAGAGTACCTTTAGGTGTAACGGTTCATGTAAATGAAGAAGATGGTGATGTTAACATTGAGGCTCCATCCTCACTGCAGGTATACCATCCAGACGCTCTAGTTCATTCTCCTTTGTTTTATTTCCTTGCACTACTCCTTTCAGCTTAACCTTGTTGGATCATTGCATTTGTGAACAGTGGTGGTTAGACTTTTATCCACTCCTTGCTGATGAAGATAAGCCAATTGAATGTACACAACTGCCTGGGGAGACTATATTCGTTCCAAGTGGATGGTGGCACTGTGTCTTGAATCTGGAAACAACTGTTGCTGTTACACAGAATTTTGTAAATTCTACAAACTTTGAATTTGTCTGTTTGGATATGGCACCTGGGTATCGTCATAAGGGAGTTTGTAGGGCTGGATTACTTGCGGTTGATGATGGCAGCTTTGAGGATATTGAAAACAATGTACCATATGTCAAGAACGATTTAAGTCACTCCAACCTTTCGAGGAAAGAGAAAAGACTCAGGATTCTTGAAACTGGAGAGGATCCAAAATATGGAAGAGCAGAAAATGTGGTCTCAAAGAATTATAATTTGTGGAAACATGGTTTTTCTTATGATATAAATTTCTTATCCATGTTTCTTGATAAAGAGAGAGACCATTACAACTCTCCTTGGAGCTCAGGGAATTGCATGGGACAACGAGAAATGAGAGAATGGCTGTACAGGCTTTGGGTTGGCAAGCCAGCAATGAGAGACCTAATATGGAAGGTACTCCTTATTTGTTAGTTAGTTATATATTTCAAAGTCCAATGAGTGACCAACCTACAATTTTTATGTTGCCTTGTTTCTTTATCTGTGGGGACTTAATTTGCACCTTTGAAATGATTTCATGATCCTCAAAAAGAATTAAGAAAATTAAAAGAAAAAACCGTTTGCAATTACAGGAGTGATTTTACAATAAAAAGAATTATCAACTCTTGTTAGATTACGCAAGTGATAGATATTTTCTCAAGGAGATCTGTCAATGAGAGATACCCGTCCTCATTCAATGGCTTTCATTTTTGAATTTTACAAGTCTTCTCATGGTTCACAAACTTACCTGCACAAAAAAAACAAAAAAAAAAGTAAAAGAGAATAAAAAAATGCAGCATCTTTTATTGTAATGTTTTTCCTGATACTGTTATGTGTTAATATAGTTTATTTTAATGGTATAGGGAGCATGCCTCGCACTGGATGCAGGCAGATTGTTGGAATGTCTGTTAGAAATTTGTGCCTTCCACAATTTTCCTTCCCTGACAGAATTTCAAAGGCTCCCTGTCGGCACTGGTAGCAATCCTGTAAGTAAGCTATGTATGACTTTGTGATTTTTCGAACCCACATATTAAACTTGATGCTCCTTTATTAATTTCTTAACTTTGTAAACTATTACACAGAGCAATGCCAGGGATAGTTTCTATTTTTTTTTTTAAATTTAATGACGTCTGGTATCATTTAGTATTTTGCGGATGGAAGTGATGTAATTTAGAGAGGTTTACATCTTTAATAATTTATGCCTGTAGCCTGAGATGAATATAAAGTTTTGAGACTGTTATTGTCTGGTTCATAAGTGGTCAATTGTTATTATATGCAAGGGTGAGTCGGTGACATCTGATGGTGTCTCTTTAGAAAAGTAATGGATTGACATATTAGGTTAACATGAGTCACCTGATAGTGATAACAAGACCTATTACTAATTAGAGACACAGTATGTTATTTCCTCCGAGAAATTTCCATCTGCCAAGATGAGGAGATCCCAATAGTTTTACATAGAAGAAGCTCAGACTTATGCTGCAGGCATTTTGTCCCTAAGGTGCATGCTAAGATTCTTAATTATCCTTCCTTTAGAAGTTGGAAAATTATGAGTAAGAAATTTAGTTATGGATGCTAGATGATAAAAATGTGTTTTCATGTTATTATTAAAGCAACAGTTGATTCTCTACCAGGGAAGTGAAGTTCCTAGTACTTTTTGGTCTTAATCATCTGCAACAGGTTTATCTCTTGGGCGACTGTGTAGTGAAAATTTTTGTTGAAGATGGACTGGAAGCCTCTTTATATGGTTTGGGCACTGAGGTGTGATCTTTCTTCCCTTTTTTTTTCGGGGGGGGGGGGGGTGCATATGTTTGTTTGTGGTCAGTATTTATCTTCATATGACTTTTATACTGCATTTTTACAGCTAGAATTTCACAACCTAGTAAATAAAGCCAACTCCCCTCTGCAAAATCACATTCCTCAAGTTTTGGGTAGCGGAATACTTTATCTCGAAAATGGATCATACAAAATTGTACCTTGGGATGGCAGCACAGTTCCTGATGTGATCTCAAAGTGTGATTTTCTTCTAGAGAGAGGCAAAGTAGATACTTTTCCTTTTGGAATATGGAGCAAGCAACAATATATATACAGAAAAGCTGGGATATCAACATCTGAGCCAATCAATTCGGTGGTGGGCATGAAGATATGGCCGTATATCATAACAAAAAGATGCAAAGGGAAAATATTTGCAGAATTGTAGGTTATTTTAGTTTTCGTGCTTTTTAGTCACTCACAGCTTTGGTCTTCAGACGCGTGTGAGGTTACCTAACTGGCTAACTCCAATCATCCTTGAACTTATTTATATGATTTTTGTCTTTTGCAGAAGAAATACACTTGAATCAGAAGATGTGCTAAAGTTGGCTTCCTTTCTTGGAGAGCAGCTACGTCACCTGCATCTCTTGCCACGACCACCTCATATTTCATCCACTATTGTTGAACGGGAATTAAACGTTCACCATACTAATGGTTCTACGGAGGCTGCTCCTGATAACTTGAACATGCCAGCTGAATGGGACTTCTTCATCAGAACTCTAAATAAGAAGAAAAACAATGTCTCAAGCCACCTGAAAAAATGGTACTTTCATTTATGCACACACTGGGTGGTCATACTTTCCCTGGACAGTTCACAATACCTGCTATTTATCACCAATATACGCTTGTCTATGTTTGTATGTTCTCATAGATAAACCACGAGACAAAATATTATACACTAATTGACGTCAATATGTTTTTTAAGAAAAAGGCACATTCTCTTGTGCTGACATTGAAATAGGGATGGATATACAGGTCTCCACCCTGAAAAAATGACTACAATGTTTTTTCATGTGTTATAGTTTTTTCTTAGATATTGATTAATAAAAAATATTGCTCCCAATCGTTACTGGATTGTGTTTCTTAATACAGCCAGTATGCTTTGCTGAATGGCGGAAAAAGTTCACTAACTTCTTTAGTGTCACGATTTGATCTCAACGTTGCATTTTGATAGCCTACCTATTTTTACCTCAAAAAAAAAAAGTCTTTACCTATTTTAAGAGGAAATGCATTTTAACCAAAAGTTTATCACTTTGTAAAAAGAATCGTATGCTGGTACAAATAACCTTGTGCACTTGTGCACTAGACATTTTTTTAACGGCTAACAGTTCTTGTAGTTGCTAGTTTGTAAATCTCAACCTCCTTAAAATTTTGGTTGAGATTATGCATGTGCTTGTATTAATTCTTGTAATTCTTGTATATCTATCGTTCATTTGTGTTCTAATCTACATGGTCTGACAGTGACACCGGGTTGTACAGATCAATTTGTAATTGACTGCTATTTGTCGCTAGCTTTATGCTTTGTTACGTCAGTGGTGTTTATAATCTTCTTCAGACATATTTCTAAATGTGATTTGGTACTTTAATCATTGCAGAAGTACGAATACGACATCGTTAAAGTTTTCAAGTTGCATTTTGCAGGGGAAATCCACTTCCTAGCACGCTAATTGAGAAAGTTGATGAATACATCCCAGATGATTTTGCAAAGTTGCTATACACATTTGAGGTCTCTTCCACATTTATCCTTATAATCAATTGTATCAAGATAATCGGTTTTCAAAAAACAATGTTTTGCACAAAAAACTAGCACAAAAATGCAGTCTTTTATTATTCTTGACGTTCTAAATTTGTTTGGTTCAGGATGAAAATGACGCAAGAAAAGTTTGTAAACCTTTGTCCTGGATACACTCGGATATCATGGATGATAATATTCACATGGAACCTTGTGGTGATAATTCTTGCTTCAGTGGAGCCTCTAAAGATGCTGACCTGGTGGACAATGGTTACAGAAATAGCTCTGATGATACTGAAGAGGGAAAATCGTGGCGTCCTAGCCACATTCTTGATTTCAGTGATCTCTCTATGGGTTAGTGGTTCATTTTAATAAGTTATTTTCCATTTATAACTTTACTGCCTCTATATGTGCATTGAATCTTTCGTTACTTCTCTTGTTATTGATAATGACTACTAATGAAAGATCAATGATCAAGTATACGAACACATAAAGTGCAAATATGATACAGAATTAACCGTGTTAACACATAAAGATTCAGCTAGCTGTTGCCCTTGTTAGTTACTCTTATCAGTTTCAATGCTTTCAATAATGTGCTTATACTTTGTTTCCAATCTCCCTTCTGATATGTGGGTTAGCTAGAATTTTAGTTCTCTTCATATTTCTGTAGTATAAATAGAATTCGATTAGATCAAATTTACATATTTGGGACATTGCACCACAAAAAAAAAACAAAAAAAGAAAAACAAAAAGAGAGAATTTTGATAAACCATTTCAATTCTTCTCTCTCTCTCTCTCCTTTGGCAGGTGACCCTATTTATGATCTGATACCCATATACTTGGATGTATTTAGAGGCGATCCGTTTCTCTTCAAGCGATTTTTAGAAAGTTATAAACTCCCACTTGTGAGAAGTTTATACCAGCACAAGTCAGTAGAGGGCGATGACAAGTTTGGACGACTTTCATACTATGCCATGTAAGTAATGACTTTGCTGCATACTTTTTCTTCTTTTTTTTTTTTTTTCGCCTGGAAAAAACTCACACTTCGGTTCTTGGAGTTACATGTTATATAGCCTATTAGCCTATAGGAGAACTTCTCATGAAAGTACTGCATATTTCATCTCTATCAATGAAAATCAAATAGGCGTCACTTGAACAAAATGTAGTGATTTGAACTAATAAAAAATTATGAAACTTTGTAAATCAGAGTCGTAAATAATTAAACGTGTAATTTGGACGTGATTTGCATTGCCACTTCCCAACTCCCAACGTGAAAGAAAATGCCCTCAACTCTGGAAGAAAACTTGCTAATTGCTATGCACCGTATTGCCTGCTGTGAGTGACTTTAGTAAATCAAGTTAATCACGAGAAAATTTTTAGCAAAACTTATTGCAACATGTTACGGCTCCGCATTCCATTTCAGTTGTATATCAACTTCTTTAGGTAGTGTTGGTCGGCTTGGACCTTCGACTGGTCCTGCTTTGCTCTTGTCTGTGTTCACGCAAGAGAACAGACCTGGATGATAAGTTATCTTTTTGGAGAGTAAAGCAGGAGTAAACAAGAGGTTCTGCTGTGACTAATAAAAGTTGGAAAAAAAAAAGTCCTTTGATCTGTCATTGCGCTAGTTTTGCATCCATGCTTCCACTTTATATGAATCATGAATGTTACTATTATTATCAATGATGCAGTAAGGTGTCATGTCTCACCCATTTTCAACGGTTCATTTCTCTAGGTGCTATTGCATCGTGCATGATGAGAATATACTGGGAGCTATCCTTAGCATATGGAACGAACTACAGACAGCAAAGTCATGGGAAGAGGTTGAGCAGACAGTATGGGGAGAGTTAAATAATTACAAAGGCTTTCCTTGATCTTTATTTTTTTTATAGACAATTATCAACATTTATTAGATGCTTTTCAAATAAATCTGAACACGATATCATGCCAACATTTTATCCGAAATTTTGGCAGAAAGTGATTGTTTTGTACCATATGGTCGTGTTGTAGTGTCCAAGTCATTTGTGTAATTTTATTTCTAGGTTGTAGTCAAATACCTTTTTCCCGAACACCAATAATTATTTCAAGGGCAAAGGAAAGTACCCATTTGATAAGCGACAGGGCATGTATGAATGACGATTATTTTTTCACCTGAATTTAAACTGTTTTTTTTTTTTTTTTTTTTTTTTTTGTCTCAGGGCACTTTCATCGTAAGGGTCGCCATGTAACTTGTAACATTTCACAAAACAGAGATTTTTTTTACCCCTTTCCTTGGCAACGACGGTATTTTTGTTTACAAAATATATAAAAAAATCATCATAATTTTCTTGAAAATCTAAAAGAAAAAAAATCAAATTTCTCGTACAAAAAATTACTTACATCCACGCGCTTCCCATTCAGAAAGGGGAAAAAAAAATTAGAGTGAAACAGCTTATCGTTCAAGGTTTCTTTTGAAGTAGACCATCGCCAAAGCGAAATGAGTAATTGTCCAAGTAGAAGAAAATTGTGAATGCACAATCAATGCAAATGCCATCCAGGAAGCAAATGGTTGGGCATGATGAACCATGACTACAAAACGCGGAAAATAATTCAAATAAAAGGAAAACATAATCCACCATGTGCAATCAAAATCCATAAAACGGAAATTGAAAGTAGTGCATATTTTGATACAAAAATCCAATAAACTCAACCGCATCCAAAAAAGTTTTTTCCGGGACACTCCCTACACCGATATTGCAAATAAGAATACCATCTTAAACCAAAATCTAAGCAGCAACTGATGGCTTAGAAGCAGCAGAGAGCCTGGACCTCTTCTTGGCCAAACTCTCACTGCGACGCTCTCTTTGCTCCTTCAATCTGGTCGCAAGGAGCTTCTGGTACTCAGCAGCGTCAGCCTTCGCCTTGGCAACCCTCTTCTTCTTCTCAGCAATTCTTGTGCGCTTCCTTTGCAAGGTCAATGGAGTGACCAACCTCTGAATCTTGGGAGCTTTACTCACCTTCTTCCCTGCAAAGAACACAAGTACCTCCAAAGCTTAATATAAATTCATATCACAAACGCAACCTAAAGGTCCTAAACATATAACAAAGGACACTATCAGATTATCCTGTTATCTTGCAACAAACAGAAAAACAAAAGATTCTATGGGATTTTCTATCTTAACAGTTTCTGGCATTATGCCAAAAATTATCTTCCAAAAAGGAAAAACAAAAAAAGGTCATCTGATTCAAAAGTCAGAAACACGGTACAGATTATCCTGTTATCTTGCAACAAACAGAAAAACAAAAGATTCTATGGGATTTTCTATCTTAACAGTTTCTGGCATTATGCCAAAAATTATCTTCCAAAAAGGAAAAACAAAAAAAGGTCTTCTGATTCAAAAGTCAGAAATACGGTACAAGCACCTGACTATCATAAGAAAATATGTAAGCAACTTCATCATTTCTAGCCTAACAAGGGCATCAACCAACCACTAGACTCCAACATATAAACACACACAAAAAAAAAATGATTAAAATGATCTTACAGACACTACAATTATCTCAGCATCCATTTTGAATATCCAATAACTATTTAAGTTCTCTGAATAAAAAGATAAATAGTTAAAATGATGGGAGAAGCTAACCAGATTTGGTTGTGAATGATCGGCGGTAGGTGTTAACATACTTCCTAACGTCATCCTCCTTTGAGAGATTGAACAGCTTTCGGATCTTGGATGCCCTCTTGGGACCTCTCATCCTAGGTTTCTCGATGTCTGTCAATCCGGGGAGATCGTTCTCACCCTTCTTCACAATAACCAAGTTCAAAACAGAAAGGTCCTGGCTGACAATGCAACCTCGAACAGACTTCCTCCTCCGCTCTCCATTGCGCCTTCCATAACCACGGAAGCAAGGAGTTCCTAGCCATACAAACAAAAGAAACCAATGCAATTTCAAAACGCTTCTTCATGTTTGAACGTGCTCTTTTGGCTAAGCAACAAAAGCAAATAACACTACACTATGGAATGACTTTTACAAACCTCTGTGAAGCAAAAGGCGAACACGACCAGGGGTCAACACTCCCTGCTTCATTGGGAAACCTTGCTTGTCACAGCCTCCCATGATTTTGAACACATAACCCTTGAATTCCTGTCCACCAAACCAACAATCTTTAACAAACAAATCACTAAACTCAATTACAAGTTGAGCAATGGCATAACGTAAATCTACATACCTCTCCAAGGGAGTCACCACTGACTTCCTGTGAGATTCTTTTGTCAAAGAATGCTCGCCTACAAGAAAGGTAAACAAAAAAAAACGTACAAGACCACAAATTGTAAGAACTTATAACTTATTTGTTTCATTAAACAAAAAAAAAAAACCCACACACACATAAAATGATAGTCTCCCCAATTTCCTAAATAATGCCAACACTTCTTAACATCCTCAAACAAGCAAAATGAATAAAGATAAAATAAAAATTATTCAAATTTCGGATTTTAATGCAATGAAGTCAGCAGTATTCCATGAGATGCAAGATAGTATGGTGAAAAAACCTGTTTCTACCGTATAATTATACATTTAGAGCATTGCTATTGTACTGTACAAAGTTTTCCATATAGCATATAGGTTAATTTCATACATCAAGTACATAAACACCGAGACCAAAAAACACGGTCTCGCATATTAAACTTTGCTAAAGTTCCTGTTTAGTAACATTAGTCATTAAACCGATTAGCACTAGAACCCATTAATCAATATAGCAAATAACATACATTTCAACCATAATTAAGAGGGACTAAAAAAGTGAAGCAAAACATCACAAGAATAACTTGATCAAGATTAAAGATTTGAAGAAAACTTACAGCTTTTGATCGTCATCGATCTCAAGCTTCTTCTGGCACCCGGTGGTCGGGTTAGCGATGTTGAACTGCAAAATTTGGAAACGAAAGCCAAAATCAAGCTCTGAGCTAAATGAAACGCAGATGAGAGAGAGAGAGAGAGAGAGAGACTTGCCTTCATCTTTGATCGGAGACAGAGGCGGCTCAGAGAAGGTTCCGCTTTGCTATTATCCGCTGAGGACGCTCTGCTCGCTTTAGGGTTTTGAGATTGAGATGCTGTCTCTCTTCGTTTTATACTGAGCTTCAATGGGGGCTTCAAGGCAGTAATTTGATGGGCCTGGATCATCCTTTTTTGGGCTTCTATAAGGCTTAAATCTAATTGGGCCTTATTATATGAAACGCCCAGTTCAGGGGCAAGGCCCTGGTGTGGGCCTCTTTAGGTCGGCCTAATTTGTAAAAATTAGTTAGGTTACATGATAAGTACGGAAAAATGATTTGAAATATTTAAGGCATACCATAATTGCATAATAATTATTATAATAATTAGTAAAATGGTGTAATTGTTTTTACTATATTTCAATATGACTAAGAAGATGATGCTATATTTCCCTAATTATTTCTTCCTTTAATTTTGCGTTAAATGTAAATTCTGGTTATAGAATATTTGGTCTCAATAAAATTTCATTTTATTTTATTTTAAAAACTAATTTCTTCCGGGTCCGTTTGGATTGATTTTAAAAAGCTGTTTTTAATTTAGTTAGTCTAAAAATAATTTTTGAATATGTTTAAATAGACAATTTTAAAGTATTTTTAGTTTTTTTAAGCACTTTAAAACAAACTATCTCTTTAGTGCTCATGAAAAGTTTTTTTATTTACATTTTTAACCTTTTATTTGTGAATAATAAATTAAATATCTCATTTATATTATTTTATTATATTACTTTTCATTACAATAAGTGTTTTTGACTTTTTTTACCCAAACAAGTTTAAATGCTCTTCTTAGATATAAAAATATTTTTTCAGACATTTTAAAAAATCCGAACTTATACTTATCTTTTTCTGCTACTTAAAAGCACAAACACAAGCCATCCCAAACGGCCCCAAAGTAAAATATCATATTTTTTTTTACATAAAAAAAATATTCTACCAAACTGCTTCTGGTCGTCTAGATGGGTCTTTAGTCTCTAAATCGTGACGGTACACATCTCCTATCAAGAACGTACTACCTAATAAACACTCATTTCACTATATTTTAGTATTCCCAACATGAAATAATTGAGCTTATTCAACCATTGCGACAATACAAAAAAGAAAAAAAGGTAGCAGATTCTAATGACAAAAGAAGTATGCAAAAAAGTATCACATAAATAAGCGTCAATCATGAGTCATCATAAAAGTAAAAAGAAAAAACAAGGAATCGTAGGAAAAAGGGAATTCATCCATTCCCCATTACAACAAAGAAAGAATCTGTGGTCACAATCGTGGATCTACAATTACATACACATATTTGTAAGTCTAATCATAGTGGGCAAACAAAATCACCACTTGTTTCTACATCTTCAATATCAGCATCAACATCCAAATCATCTAGATCCATACTTCCTCCAATGTAACTCCCACCAAGCTTTGGAACCTCAAGAGTTTGTCTTGCCTCTCGTATTATGGACGACGCTTCTTCAATGCTCTGCAGTGGATTATTCACATCATTGCTCTGGTAGCTTCCTCCTTCCATTAGTTCTATAGGCAAGTTCTTTAAGAACCATGGATGGGTTTTGATTTCTGGGATTGTTATTCTCTGCAGATATACAAGTTTAACATAGGAAAAACTGAATTGATATACTATTTTTATTGCATTTCAAATGAGCATTCGGAAATATTCCAATAAGCTTACCTTTTCTGGATTAGCCACAAAAATGTGAGACAAAAGATGTTTGCATTCCACAGAAACGTGGACATAGTCTGGAATTGAGTAATGAACGCTAAGTATCCGCTGCCACGAGATATAAAATCTTAGTTACCGATCCAAAGGGGGGGGGGGAAAAAGGCATCGTTGATATTCATTTTAGTATGGTTTGTCAAAAGAGATGGAGAGAAGATGACAGAATTACTCACGCCAATTGTTTTTCTGAAGTTTCTTGGATCTTCAGGATCCTCAAAAGGATAAGCCCCTACTAACATCACATATAAGGTGACACCACAAGACCAAACATCTGCAACCTATAATTTTCAGGCTTAGAATTCAGAGTAGTAACATGCTTTGAAAGCAACAAGAAGCTAGTATTACAATGATAAAAACAGCTAAAGATTTGGACTTAACCTTCCCATCATATTCTTTTTTAGAGAAGACCTCAGGTGCAATGTAGGCCGGTGTTCCAACAGTAGACTTTGGCTGAGAATGCAGCACAGATGACTGTACAATAACTTTTCGCAGTTAGTAACTCGGAACGTTTCATTAACTTGAAAATCTAACGTGATTCTGAAGTAATCAATTTTTTTTTTTTTTTTTTGAGGATATGAAGTAATCATTTTACGGTTACCTTTGAGTATCCGAAATCACATATCTTCACACGAGGAGCCGTGCTGCCATCTAAGAGAGTGTTTTCAAGCTTAAGATCTCTATGACAAATTTGCTGCAACAAATTATTCCTTATCATTTAATCAGACACCACCCATCATAGCTCATCAGGCACGTCACAAGTCAGATAACTACAAGTGATACTAAAACTTCTTAGTTCTTACCATTGAATGACAATAACTGACTCCTGATATCAGTTGCTGAAAGAAAAACCTGGCCTGGTGAAAAAGAACAAAGTGTATAAGTACGCAAAGAGATGGATTGAAGTTGAACTCCTTATACCATTTTAACGAGACATTCATAAGTTCTAATGCCTTATTCTGCATCATTTATCGAAGAGTTTTCGCGCATTACCTCGTCCTCGCTAAATCTACCAGCATTGCAAATTCTTTCGAAAAGCTCCCCACCCGCAGCATACTCCATCACAATGGCTAGATGAGTCGGCGTTAGCAGGACCTGCCAGAAATTGGTCACAAAACCCACTTGTACTATATATGCTATTCTTAAGATTCTCTAAAAAAAAGAGCAATGGGAAGTTCTAAGCCTGAGTGTTGTCAGAGGAACTTGGGTCTTGAGACACACAAAAACAATTTGTAACAATTTAAGCATACATATTAACTACATCAAAACCCCACTAGATAGTAAGTATATACACTTACGCTGATACAAATATGCCTAGAAGTATTAGTCAACAAACCAAAAAAGAAAAAATGAAACCAAGACATTTAAATTGAACCATTCATAAAATCGGCATAAAGAGAACAAGTTTTAGAATGTTGACATAATTGATTACTAACCTCTTTGAATCTAACAATATTGGGATGCTTTAATGACCTGTGGTTCATGATTTCCCTTTGGACATGTTCATCAATCTGAAACACCCAGAAAGTAAAACAAAATCCTTAAACGAACTAAACCCAGATGAGAAGCAACAAATCAAGTTTCACTTCAAATTTCCCAAAAAAAAAAAAAATTCAAAGAGGATAATTATGTAGAGAAGGAGATGGAGTTGACCTTCTGGCCTCTCTCGATGAACTTAACAGCAAAAAGCTCTCTTGTCCACTTGTCTCTGACCAACCTGGCCACTCCGAAATTCCCTGACCCGATATCTTTCACAATCTCGTATCGCTCCATGTATTACAAAACACCAAAAATTAACACACAAAAAAAACCCCCAAAATCTTTGTGTCTTGTTTCTCACGACAGAACAATCCTGTTCTTCTGCTAGCAACAAGTTTGAAAGTTTGATCAATAAAAGACTATATATATCTGTAAGGCTGTTAGGGATAGGTCGCAGAGAGTACTTGAGTTATTGGGTTATAATCGATAAATTTTGCAAGTCTTTACGGTAGAAACTGGAAAGAGCCACAAAGTTTGACAGTTTGAAGTTTGACTGCACTTAGAGAGAGAGACAGAGACAGAGACAGAGACGCGTGTAAGGGCGAAATGTTGGGCGGTGTGGGAAAAAGTAGAAGGAACATAAATTCTATTTCTCGCACAGCTCGAGGGGGAAAGATTAGAGCCACAAAAGCGAAAATCACTTTTGGCTATATGCCAAACTTATTTAAGCGGCAGGGGATGTTAACCTCCCTAACGATGTCCTTCACGCTTTGTTCGCGCCCAACTATGGCCCTCTTGCATTGATTTTTCCATTTCTTTTCTTTTTTTTTCCCTTCTCTTTATAATAAATAGAAAATGACACTGATCAAATGGATTTGTGGTTTTAGTTACTAATGCTAAATGCAAGTCACAATTTATTTGTTTTTTTTTTGTTATTAGAGTGATAAAAATAGACAATTATATCAGATAAGATAACAGATTTAATTGTGAATTTCAATATAAATAATATGAATGTCTAAATTGTTCTTAGCACAACTCATGACGTCTTTGTGTGTTTCCAGCTGCAACTCTCGCATTGCTCTTTTGAGAATTTTTCCCGAGTCATAACATAGTACTCTATTATGAAGTAAGGAGTTAACTAATATTCAGCTCTTACTATCATCTGAGAGGTGTGAAATCTTTCTATATATGTCAAAGCCGATACCATTGTCTTTACAAAAATAGCACGTGGGCTGTTATCCTAATTCCTATCTTACACCAAATAAACACATATTATGCAAAAAAGTTAACAAAAGTCATGGCCTGCATCAATTTGAGGGCCCATATAGGGAGCTCCCCTAACCACGAGATCCTCTGGCAAGTCTCTTTCCTCAAGCACGACGTAATCTGATCAACAGATTAGACCCAAAAAAAAAAAGAAAAAAAAAAGAAGAAGAAACCAAATTAGTATTTCATCAATAACTTAAGCCGAAAGCAACAACTTGAGACATTTTTTTCTTTGTTGTTTGTAGCAGTACCGGGAAGAGAAGACAAGGGGAAGAGTGAGAAGTAAGTGGAAGGCCTTCCAAGGTCATCAGAGTAGGGTGGCGTGAGAACATCCAAGATGGTACAAGGAGTTAATGCAGTGAAAGAATGAATGTTGCCACCACTTGTTGGATACAAAACGCTTGTCTCGCACGGCGCCCTCATAATGATCTCCTCTCTCACCCTGCTTGCCAATCCCACTTCGTCGCCCACATATATGCGAACATCCCAACAAATAAAGTCATGATCAACAAAAAACAAAAAGAGATTAATTGATAAGAAAGTTTGTGCAAGCAATGAATTCTTACATGTTTTGGACGTGGATGATGAAGTATCTACTTTCAGTACCCAATCATAAGCTTTGACGTAAACTGAACCGTATAAGACTTTGCTGAAAACCGTCATTCCTGGGTGATCATGAAGGGGAAGTGCCCCTCCGGCAGGGAAACAAAAGACACCAATCTGCTCATATACCATAAATTTTTTCTTTATTGTCATCTCACATTTTTAATGTTTATTTTTATTTTTTGATTAGTGTTCGGCAGAGAGAGAGAGAGAGTGTGTGTGTGTATAGTACTATTACTCTATTAGTGTCATTTATGTTCATGAAGCAAACAATATTTTCTACTCACAGAGAAATCATCACATTCATGAATATGGATATAAGTAATTTCAGAAATGCTTTGCACACAAATCTGACCCTTGTTCTCGTTTTGGCTGGAAGATGGAGATCCACATATTCCGAATTCGTCGATCCCAACATCCTTGGCTTCAAATATTCCTGAAAAATTAACAATCAATGATTCAATTTTGAGATGTACGTCCCACCAAAGAAAAAATAGAAACGTAATAAAATTTAATATTAAAAAAAATAAAGAGAGATTCACATATTAGCCAAAAAAAAAACTATATACCGAGGAGATTTTTTAACCATTGGATTTGTTGGAAACTTGGGGGCTCTTTCTGAGAGAAAACCAGACTGCAGGCTTCATACAACGTTTGTATCTTGCTTTTCTCTATTGAACCGTCCATATTGGCTATGCTTAGTGAAAGAAATTCTTCTAACTTAAATAGATTACTACATTTAGATTGATAAAAAGACATGGAATTTTATGATGAGGGAGAGGGAGAGGGGGAGAGAGGAAACAACGTCAACCAAACGGTGGGGTTTGAATTATTTTCCTTACAATGGGCAAATATCTCTAATGTTTTTACACTTGAGGTTTATATTTTTCCAAGTGAAGCGAAACCTTGATTGATGTAAACCACGTAGCGACAACGTTAAATTGTCATACAAAAAAGGACTAACTATGGGCGGAGAATCATAGTAAAGACTAATTAAGTGAAACTAGTTATGATTTTCTCACGGATAAATTTTGCTAGCTTAAGAATTTTTTTTTTTTTAAATGCTATCTAGACTTTATCAAAGTGAAATTTATCGTTTCACATGCGAATAGAATCACCAATTGAAAGTGCAAAGCTGTGTGGGCCCACTAGTCTGTGATTCCATATGACGTAGCAACATCAGAGTGCAGAAAGGGCGACTAGCTGCGGTACTTGAGTTTTAAGTTATCATTTTATCTATTTGAGTTTTTAATTTTAAATTTTTATAATAAAATTTTTTTTAAAAATATCATATTTAATTTTATTTATTATAATAAAAAACTCTTAAAAAATATCACATATCAATTTAAATTGAAAATTAAAATCTGTGAAGTAAACGGAGAATCTCGTTTAATTCGTTGATTTAAATTTTTTATTTGAATTGAAATTTAATTTTATGTGAGAATTTTTTATTATAATAAAAAATTTAAATGTAATTATTTTAAAAAAAAATTTACTGTAACAAAATTTAAATTGTAAATTCAAATCGGTAGATGTCTTTCGTTGTGTTACCCTTTCGTCTAATACATATTGCCAATAGTGTTCAAAAGGCTGCTTTGCGATCACATTTCTAGAGTTTTAAAGAAGCATAATGATTTATAGATAGTATTTAATTTAAAAAAAAATACAGGATAGAGATTGATTATCATAAATAAAATACATTAAAATACCATACAAAGTTCGCTGTGGCCTGTTGGAAAACATGGAAGATAAAATAATAATTTTTGGTGGAATAGTTTCAGACCACAAAATAATCCACAGTTCCACACTTTCTATGGCGCAAGTGGATATTGGAAAACATAGACGCACCCCAAAAAAGAAAAAGAGGGTATCAGTATTTTACTTCACACGTTTCCTTTCTGAATCCCCATGAGCCACATTTTGTTCCCTCATACGTTCGCTTACATTAGTTATGTTCGTTTGAGGAAGAAAATTTCAATGAAGTGTTAAAGTCTAAAGAAGCTTCAACAATCATTTTATCTCTTAATCTATTCATTTTTTTTTTTTTTTGACAAATTCCACAACGTGAGAACTGTGAGAAGTGAGAAAATTTCCACTTGACTCGCCTTTTTATTTTTATGCCATATTCTTCTTAAGTTAATATATAAAAGATAGAAGTGTTGAGCAAAAATCTAGTGCTTAAACGGACATAAATTTTTATGTTATAGAGTCTCTATAATGACAATAAAAAATAAATTAAAAAAACACAAATCGTTATTCTATCTATCCATAAGCATTACTCTAAATTATGTTAATTGAGTTGAGCCGCTCAACAAGCACGATAGCATGGCACGGAAAATTTCAAACTAAGCATGACATGACTTAAAATTATATTGGGTTGGACTAAGCACGATACAAGATGGTTAGGCGTGTCAGGTTCATGATTTTAAGCACATACATCTGTTACCATACAACGCAACGACAAACACATCAAGAGACAAGCATGAGTCAAATGTCATGAATGGTGTCCTAAAAACGTGAAATGTAATATGATATTTATTATTTATTTAATAAAAGAGTTTATTGATTATTTTATGTGCATATATTATTGAATATTTTATGAATATCATTGAAAATTCTGTGATGATTTATATGACTTTAAATATTGTATATAAGTGTTATATATTACAACAAATTTCATTATCAATAGCTTACCAAAAACGCTATTAATCACTACTAATAGCGTTTTATGAACCGCTAGGACATCAGACGCTATTAAAAGTCCTAAAAAAATATAACATTCTGAGAGTGCTATGAAAAACGCTATAGAATTGAGATCTTATAGCATTTTATGCTTATTTTCAGCATTTTATAGCTATTTGACCTTGTTATGGTTCAGATCAATAGTTTTTCTTTCTTATTATCTTCATACTCCTCTAGCTTTTTAAAATTATTATTGAATATTTTACCAATCCTAAAACTAGTACAAACTAACGTTTTATCTACTTTTATTATATTAATATCCTTTTGAATTCATTCAAATAGATGGTGATTCCGAATAACATCTCAGTATTACATCCAAATAGGAACATTCAAATTAAAGCATAAAACATTCAATGTAATAATTGTGAACAGTATCTACAAAGTTGGTAATAAGATGTCTACGACATAAGTCACACCATTTGTCCACAACTTTAACATTCAAAACAAGTAAAGAAAACAGAGGAATAGCTAGAGATATCAAAGTATCCAAATTGTCTAGCTAAATAAAATGGTTAAGTGAATAATCCATCTTTACAAATTGATTTAGCAAAAAAGTCATCTCCACTAGCAAAGCAACTGACTGTCACAGAATTATTCCAACTAATTATAAATTGATTAACTAATGATGCACAAATTAAAAAGATAAACACGTATAAAATATCACTCATTCAATAAGACAATTGTATTTGAAGAGTCCAAAGCAACATATAATTTAGTACCAACAACAAAGCAAAAGCAAAGACCTAATCCTAGATTGCATATCATAATCATAGATTTGAAAACACAGAAAATACCTTTAGTAGAAAGGAGGAGAACCATAATTCTTCATTGCATCCTTCTAATACAGCCAAAAAATTGTCTAATAAGATTATAAAAGTTACAATAATGTATTGAAACCAAAACATATGAATAAAAAACTCACTTGATTTTGCAAAAATAGATAAAAGTATCTCTTTCAGCTCTCTAACATCCTCCTCCATTCGCAAATATTTCTCATATAAAAGAGACAAGTGGTCATCCCATTTTAATAAAATAGAATATTTTATCCTAGTCATTCCGAGACCCATTGCTCTCATATGTCAATTCCGATCAGGACCAAAGTAAGAAAGTAGAATACCATTTAGCATATCAGTTTCATCAGCAATCAGGACCAAAGTAAGAAAGTAGAATACCATTTAGCATATCAGTTTCTTCAGCAGACAATGTTGGATCTTGTTAAGTTTTTTCAATATTTTCCTAAATATTAAACAACTAATCTTGATTAAAATATGCAGCAAATTTTTCAAATTTTTTTTTTATATTAACACACGAGAATAAATAATTATTTAATAAAAATATACTCTTACAGTGACTTCACCAGCAGTTGAATTGATGGGTTCACCATTCTTCTTCTTATGTGCCTTTGTCTAAATAGACACTCAATTAATTATTAGTCTTATTACATAGCTCTAACAACAAAATATGAGCTTCTATTAGATTATGAACCTTACAAAAGCAAAAAGAAATAGAAAAAATAGCAAATATTCCTTACGAGTCATATTGTACAACTCTTACGACAAAATAAAAGTTTCTATTAGAATATGAACCTTACATAAACATAAATAAAAAACCAAAAAAAAAAAATCAAACATTCCTTATCAATCATATTGTACGACTCTAACAACATAATAGGAAATCCAACTACTTGAAATGGTAGTTTAACAAAGTTAACAAACTGAATAAATACTAGTTTCGAAAACTTCAATCTCCTTGTTAGATAAAGAAAAAAATTACAGGGCAAGTCAAATAAATCTCTTAGAAGAAATCAAGATTAAATGAAAATGAACAACTACTCTTGAGATTAAAAAAAAAAAAGAACAACTACCCAAGCGTCAATAATCACATCAATTTTCGTATAAGCAAAACATGCAAAAAGATTAAAAAAAAAAAAAAAAAAAAAGAAGAACTAAACACTAATTTTTTTAATCTCACGACAAACACTCAGTGGAAATAGAACAGGACAAGATAACAAGAAGAAATGTGAAATCAAATGTTGAAAGAAATTAAGGAAAATTTGTAGGAATTTCATATTATAACTCACCCAGTTATGAATGCCCAAGGGAAGAACGACTACCACACCAAAATGGCGAGAGGGGCAATGCCCAAACAATGTCGATGCCCAATAACGGAAGAAATTTATGAGAAAAGTTTGAAATACACAAACATAATGAAGAAACTCGCCAAATTTTGTGCAAAGACACAATGTACAAACAAATTGCAAATCAAAAGCCAAAGAAAATCACGCAATAGTAGACACACTCACCAAAATCTTTGCAAAGATTCTGACGCCCAACGAAACAATCCTGCCCCTCGCCAACCCATTCCGTTCCCGGGGACTTCCGAGCATCCCACATCCGCCTCGCATGACGGCAGCTCTTCCCCCTTGAGATCCAGACACAAGTCAGAAATGACGAGGTCCTCCATCGCAGCAGGTAAAATTGATGTGCCGGATTGGAGACTCATCCTTAATATGTATATTGGCTGATTTGTTGTATTTCATGTTATTGATTTGTTTCTTCCAATTAATCACTTATTCATCAGTGTCTTGTTGTTCGAAGTTGTCATTCCCATCAAACAAACCCATAATTTTACCAAACAACTTCGCTGTGAGGACAAACGTCTTCCTACAAAATAGTTAATGAACAATCCTCCTCTTTAAAGTTGTCCACCATCCACATAATCACGCATATATCGGCGACTATTGTCTTGAACTGACTTTCAAAGATAGCAAACTTAGCACTGGGGAAACTGACACAAACATCAATTGTTGGCTCACTAGTAGTGCTCGTCTGTGTTTTCAATAAACATGCTCATTCGCTTTTGTTAAACTTACAAATTTAACTTCAGAACTTGAGGTGGTATGGAAACTGTAAAAGCTGCTGCTTTTACTAAGCTCTTTCCCTCTCCATAAACGATTAAGCCTCACACTTTTTTTTTTCTAATCGTCCCGTTCTTTTCGCTGATTCGAGTTTAGAATTCAAATTTTACTACAGTAAAAAGCTCTCAGAAATAATTACATTTATTTTTTTTTACTACAGTAAAAAACTCTCACACAACATCACATCTCAACTCGAATTAACGAACCGAACGGGCCTCTCTCTGTTTTGTCCAGAGAAAGAGCTTTTTTTTAATTGGGTTTTACATTATTTTAATATATTTTTCCTGCAGCCATCTCTCTTGTCTCTCACATCATCCATTGTCTCTCACATCATCCCTTATCTCTCACATATACATGTGGCCACTAATCTGACTCTTCCTTCTCTCTTTCTCTTCGTTCAACACATGGCCAATAAAAGCTGCCACTTACAATGTACGAAAGCTAGCACCTACGAATGCTTCTGCAAGGACGTGATGAATCCCACCGTTCATTTCCATCGAACGCCTGAAAATCACTTGCCAGATAAGTCAGGTAAATAGTTGTTGCCGGACTAAAGAGATTTCCTAAATAATAGAGTTTAAAAAAAATTAATTAAGGCCTCGTTCACTTCTCTGAATCGAGTTTAGAATTCGAGTTGAGATGTGATTTTATGTGAGAGCTTTTTACTGTAGCAAAAAAGTTAGATGTGATTGTTTGTGAGAGCTTTTTACTGTAGAAAAACTCGAATTCTAAATTCGAATCAGCGAAGTGAACGGGCCTAAACTTAGGCCTCGTTCATTTCACCGATTTAAGTTTTCAGTTTTAAGTTTCTATAGTAAAAAGCTCTCAAAAAATATCACATTTAATTTTTTTATTATAGTAAAAAATTCTCAAAAAATATCACATCTAAGCTTGAATTGAAAATTCGAATCAAACGAGGCCTTAAAATTTCTAAAAGAAGTGGAACGCCTGCAAGACAGCCCATTAAAATCCTTTGGGTCCATATCTAGACAGTGAAGCCCAAGAAAAGCCCATATAGTAAGGATCCAAGGAGACCAGCCTAGTTAGTGCCCGTGCGTTTAAATTTTTGAAAAAAAAAACATAGAAAAAAGGCGACACCTTTAGCATGATCAAATCAGAACCCCGTGTTTGACAGCTGCCATCTGTACTGTACCGGCCATTGCCAAGCGGAAGACAACGAAAAATAAATTTAAACAACAAAAACAGGAAAAACAAAAAAAAGACAACCCCTAAAAAATAGAGAAAAAAAAAAAAAGAAATCTCCATCAGATCCAACGGCCTACATCGCATCCCCCAAAAATCCCTCCTCTACCCTCGACGCAATTATCGCTCCAGTACGCTCTCCTAAAAAAGCCAACCCCCATTCCCACTTCCCACCTCTCTCTCTCTCCCTCTCAAACCCACCCAGATCTAACCTCACTCTCTCTTTCTCTCTCCTTCTTTCTGTCTCTAACACGCATCTTCGGAGAACAATGGCCTCCGCTCGCGAGGAGAACGTGTACATGGCGAAGCTTGCCGAGCAGGCGGAGCGGTACGAGGAGATGGTGGAGTTCATGGAGAAGGTCTCCACCACCGTGGAGAACGAGGAGCTGACGGTGGAGGAACGGAACCTCCTCTCTGTCGCCTACAAGAACGTGATCGGAGCCCGCCGCGCCTCGTGGCGGATCATCTCCTCCATCGAGCAGAAGGAGGAGAGCCGCGGCAACGAGGACCATGTCACCGTCATCCGCGACTACCGATCCAAGATCGAGACCGAGCTCTCCAACATCTGCGACGGCATCCTCAAGCTCCTCGACACCCGCCTCATCCCTTCCGCCACTTCCGGCGACTCCAAGGTCTTCTACCTCAAGATGAAGGGCGATTACCACCGCTACCTCGCCGAGTTCAAGACCGGATCCGAGCGCAAGGAGGCCGCCGAGAGCACTCTTGCCGCTTACAAAGCCGCTCAGGTATCTCTCTACGCCTCTGCTTTCCCTTGGATTTCTGTTTCTATGTGCTGATTTGTGCCCTTAGATTTGTTATTTATTCGTTCCTATTTGTCAGTTTGCTAGTTTTCCGATCTGATTTCCTGTTTTGCGGTGCGGACCTGTTAGGAATGAGGTTAACATTGTTTCTTTGAAGCTTGATTTTTTGACTGTTGTTAGTTTTGACTTTTTGTTCATTGCCATTTTCTGCAGAAAAATGCGGATCTTTAGATTTTGTTTTCTTTTAAATGTCTCATATTTGCGTCTTATATAAGTAATTATCCTCAATAGTAGCATCAATTGTTGAAGAACATCTAGCAATTCCTGGATTCAAATATTTGCATCGTTACCCTTTGTGACTTGGATCAGAGTTTCGTGATAACACATTTATGTAGGGATAGGTGAACCTCGAGTTAAAGAGAGATATATGAAAATGAACTGGACCTCATTTATTTATGGGTCATTCTAATTTACTTATCGTTTAATTTTATTATTATGTTATTTTTTAAGTTGTGCACATTTCTATGGTATCTTATTCATTTTGGATCCGCAGGATATTGCCAATGCAGAACTGGCACCTACACATCCAATCCGCCTTGGATTAGCTCTGAACTTCTCCGTGTTTTACTATGAGATTCTCAATTCTCCTGACCGCGCCTGCAGCCTTGCTAAACAGGTACTAAAAAGGGGGTTTGTCAAGATTAATTGTCTTGTGTTATTCTAAATTGGTTCAGGCATGTTATTGGTTGGTATTTGAGAAAGAAAAAAAGATCTCTGTTTGATTTAGTTTGTGCTTTGGGTTTGAAATTTGGTAAAGCCCATAGTCATTCTTTTATGCCCAAGCAAGTAATAGAGATAATCCTGCACTGTCCAACTTTGATCTGTTTATTTTATAATCTTACTTCTTGTGATGCTTCTTCATTCAGGCTTTTGACGAAGCAATCGCTGAGTTGGACACCCTGGGCGAGGAGTCATACAAGGACAGCACTTTGATTATGCAACTTCTTCGTGACAACCTCACTCTGTGGACCTCTGACATGCAGGTGTTAGATTGATCCTTCCTTATGTTTGTTTTTTCTTTGGACCCATTTCGGATTGGTGTTGATTCGCATTTGGTTTTTGATTAACAGGATGATGGGGCAGATGAAATTAAAGAAGCCTCTAAGCCTAGCGACGAGCAGCAGTAAGCATAGTCTGCTGCAAAAGATTAGGGTTGATTTTCTCCTCTATATGTTTTTAATAGGAGAAGGCGCTCATTTCTGATTTGGGGTGTTATTCTGAGATTTTAGGCATATTCTTGTCTCTGTCACTGAATGATTGACACACAGTCTTTATTTTCTTTTCCCCCCCGCTTTCTTAATAGTGTTTGCTTTATCAGTTGTGTTTCTTAATGAGCTTTTTTATTGCTTGAAGGTGTTAAAAGCATTTTTATCTTTGTTGGCGTATCAAGCTTAATATCTTGCTGTTTCAACTTTCAAGCATGTATCTTTTCGATGAATGTTTCTACTCCTGGTCCAGTACTTTAATATGCTTATCATCGGACGAGGACCCAATTTGAAAGAAAAAGTTTTGAGTATTCCCCGATACTTCTTTGAAGTTGCATCACGGCCTGCTGAAGTGTGAAGTTTAATTATCAAGGGGTCACGTAGCCTTTTGTGTGATTGTTTCCTCCCAATCAATGACATACCTCGTTTCATAATCTCCTTGTAGACGGAGAAAGTCGTCAGTGAACTTTTACAACTTGAAATTCTGTTTATGTTTATGGGGTCACTGATTGGTGCGAATGTATTCGGTAATATTGATTATGGGAAAAAGAATTTAGGTTTATAACTCTATCTAAGGTGATAAATTCCTATGGCAACTTTCAGGTTTGTTAAGCAAAAGTTTGACAATTGTTATTAATTAACAAATAATTGTATGTATTTTGAATCGGAGGCCTAGGAAAGCATTTTCCAAAGAAGCACGAGTGGCCGGATGACATTTTTCACGTTAATATCTAATTGCACCTCATTGGTTTGACTCCGCTCGTGATTGCTTTCTTTTTATTCTTGTTCTTCTTCCTTTATGCATATGAAAGAACTGATTCGTTGTTAAACGTTTGGCCGGAAGTGGAGATTTTGTTTTTGATATTTTTCTTTAAGATTTAGACCATGTTCATGTGGGAACCCTACATGCTGTACGAGCCTACAATACATTGTACCCCATCTTCTTTCAATGGGCACATCTCTGGTGAAGATTAAAGTGGACCCAGGACCGCAACGGTTGCCTCGTTTGTTTCAATCTCCAGCCACTCAGAGCGTGCTATTTTTTTCTCTACCTTTTTTTTACCCCTTCTTCCCTGGTGGGACGGGCTTCTCTGGAACTGGAAGGGAGAAAATTGTAAGGTATATTTACATTTTTATACTCTGTGTTTTTTAGTTTATTTAAAAAATGTATCTTTAATTTTTAATCTCATTAAATGTATAGATTTAAATTTATACATTTTTAAAGTTAACTCTTAATTTTAAGTATAAAATACCTAAAATAACCTTAAATAAAAATGAAAAAAGAAAAAAGCTAAAAAAAACTTTAAACTTACAATTTTAACTTAAAAAATTCAAAATACCATTGAAATGAGTTTTTTTTTTTTTTTTTGTGTTTTTAATTTTTAATTTTTATAGTGTTAGAAAGTTTTAATTTTATTTTCTCTCTATTTCCTAAGGATAGTTTGGTCATTTAAAGGTTAAAATCAATTATTGACCGAAATAAGAAATAAATTTATATATTTAATTAAATTTGAAGGTATAGATTTTATGAGATAAAAAATTAAAGGTATAGATTTTGAATAAAATTAAAACATAAGTTATAAAAATGTAAATATTCCAAATTATAATAGCAACTTTTATTTTTGTCAATATTATAATGACACTCTTAGTCCTTGACCAAATCCCTTGACCATTCAAATTGATTGAAACCCTTGAAACAGTTGGAAAAAAAAAAAAGTTCGAACAGCTACTAAAATATTCGTAAAATGCAATTAAAAAAGCATGCTTAAAATGAGAATTTCCCCACTAAATATAATACAGTTTAACATATTTCTAAGAGCAAATTAATTGGATTTTTATACATTTTTCGATGATCTTCATAAGGAGTGACAAACCTGTTCACTCTTTCATAACCGAGTCCGAAATTGGTTATCATAAGATATTTGCCCTTAGGGATTCCTAACATAGTACATAGTGAATAAAAAGCAGTTCTTGACCTCCGATTGTTCAATTGACAATGCAAAGTATATCAGAGGCTTTTGGCAACCTTGGAGGTCGCACAATTTTGGGCAATCAATCAGGTAGCAGCAGTGGAGAGAGGAAAAGGAAGAGAACCCATTCAAATACTGCATTATTGCCCTTTCGATATGGTTTGCTCACATTGCAGAAGGCAGAACCTTATTTTTAAAGTTTACCACTGTTGTCAATTAAAGGGGTTTGTGCAACCGTTATCTAACTTCAAGGATTCAATTGCCAAAATGTTCTTCTCAAGGCTATTTTTACTGTAGGACCCCAATCACTACAACATGTTTATAAGCGTTTGGTCTAGAGTTTAAAGCTATTTCTATATATTGCTCTTTTAAAGATGAGGAGTGCTTGATAGTGAGAAGTGCCACGAGACTTTCTTGAAAGTCGAAACGTGGTTAGTCAAAAAAATAAAAAAAAATAAAAAAGAAAAAAAAAACTACTATTTAATCCAACTCTTTTTTTTAATTTTCCTTGAAAAAAAAAAGAGTAAAAAACAACAAAAGGGACAAAAGCACAGTAATCACTTCCTCCCCATTCCCCAGCCCAGGACTCCATTCTATAAAAAATAAAATAACAAAGAAAAACACCATTACCATTCTGGAAGATTTTAGGTGCTTTTTGCAGAATTCATCCCCTTGTGGACGTTGAGTTCCTGTACAATATCAATGAAAACTTCATGGGTTTCAGATCTAAACCACGTGATATTTGTCTAGGAGCTCTAATCTTCATGGGATTTTAGGAGCGATTGCAATTCTTGGCGAGTTTCTAATGGCTTAATACTATGTGTTCCTCTTGTCGATCGCAGTTTGGATCGTCGCGCCCCAAATTCCGGTGGGATCGCGAGAAGAAACTGGCAGGTCGACATTTTTTTGTTTTTTTTTGTTTTTTTTGCATCGCCGAAGAGTGCGTATTGTGGAATGAATTTTTGTGTGAGCTTTGATGGTGCAGAAGTGCGAAGGAAAATTTGGAATCTTTTTTTTCTTTTTTATAGTGATTCTCACTTATACTATGATGCGGGCATGTCCACCATTACATAATTTATTCACAAATTGAGAGCCAATGAAAACAGTGTCAAACTCTTGTTTACGTGGACTACCGATAGTCCTAAAAAAGAGGACGCACAGGAGAAACCTAAATGGTTTTTAAGATTTATACGCAATCTCACTTTAATTATTAACTTTAAAATATTTTACAATTTGGTCCTAAACTATTACTCTATTCCAGTTTCAATATTTTTGTTAGTTAAATATTAAATATTTGATGAAATCTATAAAAATTAGAGACTAAAATTAAGAATGTATAAAATTTAGAGATTATGTATAAAGTTAATTTTTGTTTTAGTCTCTAAACTTTAAGAACCAACTTCAAATGTTCAGCCTTTAGTCCTTCTTTAGGTTATTTGGAAGTGATGAGAAGTAAAGTCACTTAGCATATGTATTTAAACTTATAATTCTAATTTTATTACAGTATTTTTTTTTCATTAAAAATTTAAATAAAAAAAATGCTGACAATGGTTGTCTCATACAAACTTTGAATATCAATAAGAATCATTGACTGTGAACTAAAAGGGCCATGTTAACTCGCCCACAAACTTCAGACCTTAATCTTGGAATTGACTGCAAGTCTTTGGGGTTCCCACAATCTCAAGGGACAGATTCGGATCAATCTCAGGATCTTTTTTGTACACGTTACAAACTAGATTGATCAGGACGACTTCCTAGTACGCAGTTCAAACCTAAACTTTTTTTTTTTTTTTTTTTTGGATATTTTCTGGCACGGTATGTTAACATACTGATAAGGATGAAAATATTGATATTTATGAAAATATCAGTACTAAAATTTTACAGCAATATCGACGGAAATATTGATATAGGTGAAAATTGATGTAAAAAATGAAAATTCATACTAAAACACTCTATTTTCAAATGAGATTTTAAAAAATCTTAAAATAGATAATAATACATTAGTTAGATGAAATTCTTAATCAAAATATCAATTATTTGATAAATATGCAAGGTAAAGTGTGATCATAATACTATAAAACTAAGTACACATTCACAAATTAAGTAAAATAGCTGAAAGTCAACATAATATATATACCGTACATATATGGTTTCATACATGATAAATTATCAAAACCAAAAAGTGCTTATAGGAGGTTTGAAGGTATTTTGAACACATTTTTAGTTTAAACAATACTTATACCAAGACATGAAGTTTGAATAGTTCCTTATATAATTTTGGACATGCTATATTTTTTAAATTTTTTCTAAAAAAATAAAATAATACATAAAATTACAGATATTTATGTGGAAATTTTACCAATATTTCCATGAAATTTTTGTTCCACAATATTTGGTAATTTAACACTATGTTTTACTTGGAAATGAAAATTTTCGTGAAAATATCTGTGGAAATTTTAAGATATTTTGCACAAAAGATACTACACTCCTATTTTCATATCAGTACTTCTAAAATGCAGAAATTTATGTGAAAAGATTGATAAAAATGTCGATATTTTTATCTTTGCATACCGTAGGCTAAATTTTTTGTCTGTTAAATCTGTATAAAATCACATAAAAATGAAAAAATACGCAGATTTAACGGTTAAAAATACTTGACCTATTGGTACGCACGAGAATCTCCCCTTTGTTTTAGGGAAGTTCAGACCCAAACTTTGAATTCCAGTTCCTTTTGATTATTATTAGTTTTTAGTGATTAATAACACTTAAGACTTGTGCACGACTGGTTTTCTATGACTTACCCCATTCCTTTTGTAAATTTGAATAATAATTTGGTAAAGTCTCTAGTCTGATACCGATTGAAGCGGTATATATATATATATGTATTTTTTTTTAAAAATATGTATATTTTCTCTTAAAAATATGTATATTTTCTTTTATAATATGTATACAAGTGTTTAGACAAATTATAAGTATTTTCTCACATTATACATATTTTAAAAAATATATATATATTTTTAAAAGAAATATATATGTGCTGCTCTAATCTAATACTGAATTAGAGATAATTCCTAATAATTTAACATGTTTTTTTTTAAAAAATTTAAATTTTATTTAAATATTCAAATTTTATATTCAAATGTACGTATCAAAAAACACCCAAATTACGAGCCATTACTCCGCAAAAAGTAAGGGAACAAAAAGTAAAAATCGTAAAGAGCCATTGCTGAATTTGACCAAAATCTTTCAATCTTATCTTGGCACACTATGGAATATCCACGTTTAAGATCCAAAAACCAAACGCCAATTGCATTTGCCCATCACAGCTCAGGTGGAATTTTCAACCGAAGAAAAACTGTACCTATTTTGTCATAATTACTAGGCATTCGAAGTTTTGTACTCGATTTTGTATTGCTCCTTATATATATATATAT